TCATGTTTCCCTTCACTGACAATGCAGTACTGTATGTGCAAAAGGGTTCATCTTTGCTGTCTGTACCTCCCATGTACCTCTCTATGTCTTCCTCTTCCTCATGCCACCATGTTGATCTCTCACATGTGGTACATTGCCCTTCTCTTCACCCAAATCAATACTTATCTCTACCTATCCAACAGTGTTCCCACCCCTCCCCTCCCCCCTGGTAACCAACAAAGAAAATTTCTTTCCATATCTAAACTTTGCCTTGACTTTTACAATAACTGACTAATACCATTATTTGTCCTTTTGTGATTGACTTATTTCACTCAGCATAATATCCTCCAAGTTCATCCACGTTATGCAGTGTTTTGCAGATTCTATGTTATTCTTTAGGGTTGCATAGTATTCCATTGTGTGTATGTACCATAGTTTGGTTATCCATTCCTCAGTTGATGGGCACCTAGTTTGTTCCTCCTATTCCTTTTTCAAGCCTTAGATCCTCTGGTTGGAAGCTGGGAAAGGGAACAGAGAGGGCAGATGTCTTCTTACAGAACTCATAACCTGGTGGTAGTTCAAGAGTCCAAGAGTCTCCCTCCAGCTTCATCTAGATGCATTGGTTGCTGGTGACTTCTGACAATGGGTTGGTTTGGGACCAACAGTAGAGGTGGGACACGTGCTTTTCTTGGGCAGTCTTTAGTTTGATGCAGCTCTCCTCCATCACTGAAGACCCCTCTCAGAAAGAGGCAGTGTCATCTCCCTATGGCTCTGCTAGTGATCTGTGCCTTTAATCCTGTTTTTAGCACAATGGCCATCTGGGCAGCCCTATGGCTCCTGCTGCTTTCCATGACAATAATTGTGTTACATTGAATGATTGGCCTTGACTGTTCCTCCCTGTACCCATGCCTTTGCCATGACCTCACTGAGGGTAGAATGTACATCTCCATCTCTTGACTTTGGCCCTGGCCATGTGACTAGTTTGGGCTAGTGGCATGTAGGCAGAACTGACCATGAAATTGCCTGTTTCTGCTTGTCCTCCTGTGTCTTTGCCATAAGAAAGATGAGGTCCCTCTGGCCCACTTAGCCAAGGAAAAGGAAGTAGAGCCACCCCAGCTAGCCCACAGATTGGCAGTGAGAAGCAGAGCTGTCTTAGCTACCATAGCCTGAAGCAGAGCTGCTCAGCCCAGATCAGTCAAACCCCAGCGGACCCACAGATGCAAGAGCTATACAAAGTGATGGTTGTTTTAAGTCAATGAGTTCTAGGTGAGTTGTTACCCAGGATTTGTGGCAATAACCAACCATACAATAATAATGATAATCTAATTTATATAGAGGTGCTCTGGTAGTGTAGTGCCTAAGGCACTTGACTGCTAACCAGAAGGGTGGCAGTTCAAACCCACCAGCCACTCCTTGGAAGGAAGGTTGGGCAATCTACTTCCATAGTGATACTGCCTCGGAAACCCAATGAGAGATCGCTATGAGTCGGGTCTGACTCGACAGCACATAACAACAACAACAACAACAACTTATATAGAATGATCCAGGTCCCTGGGTGGTGCAAATGGGTTGTGCTCAGCTACTAACTTAAAGGTTGTCAGTTCAAACCCAATTAGCAGTGCCATGGAATTACAGCCAAGAAAACTCTAGGAAGTTCAGTTCTACTCTGTAACACATTGGGCTCACCATGAGCTGGATTTGATTGGATAGCAACAGATTTAGTTTTTCTGGTTTATGTGAAGGCACTGTTCAAAGTTTCTACATAGAGTATCTCATTGAATTCTCTCAGTGCTATGCGGCAGGTATCCTTGTAGTATTACTGTCATTTCACAGATAGCGCAGCTGAGGCCTCTGTGCTGCTTCTTGTGGGGCCAGTTGAACCACTACCATCCTTTCCTAAACCATCCAAGCCCCATGCCCATCTGTTTCTTCCTGGGTCCTCTGATCACTGTCCCTTTTCTCTTCTCTGCTTCTCTGAGCCTAGAAAGCTCCCCAGTAGACATCAGAATCTGTTCACAGATGTCCCTAAACTCCTAAGGACATGCAATAAATATACTCAATAAGCCCTTCTTTTTCCGGAGGTGGAGCACCAGCAGGGACAGTAGTTTCAACAGCACAGTCAGCTTCCTACTGGGCAGTGAGAGGCTTAGCTCCCCCTTTCTTGCACACACCTCCAATCTCTACATGCAATTTCTTAGTGCTCTCTCACTTGACTTTGGGGTGGAGAGGAGGCCTTCCCCTCCCCCTCCCATGGGAAAGAAAGTTGAGAACCCCCTTCACTGTGAACACTACACTCCCCACAAGGCCAAGGACCTCTGTCTTTGACTTCTCCCACTCGTCTTTTTATACCGGCCAGGCAGTGGAGTGAGAAGCAGTGGTTGATGTTGATAGGTCAATTCCTTGGACCCTTATGGAATTGCTGGGGGAAGGTAACAGGTCCATTGTTCACTCTCACCTTAGAATGAGATGTAATTAGAACATGTTGTTTTCAGTTTGGGGACCAGGAGCAATTCTTAGTGTAAAGTCTGAGAGGCAGAGTAATTTACCTAGTGCCAATCCACTTGCTTTTTGCATATTTCATACTCCCTTTCACTTTTCACTGGGGCCAGATTTTTTTTTTTTCCTTCTCCCAGTCCACAGCTAAGCAGAAACAAGATTCAGAGAATGAGGACTAGAACCCAGGATCCCTGATTTCCTGCCGGAAGTTCAATGCTCCTTCCATTAATAAAAATCCATTATTTTTCCCACGGGAGTCTTGGTGGCATAGTGGTTAAAGTACTTGGCTGCCAATTGAAAGGCAGTTTGAACCCACTGGTTGCTCTGCAGGAGAAAGATGTGCTAGTCTGCTTCTTTAGAGATGGTTGTTGTTAGTTGTTGTTCGGTGCTGTTGAGTTGATGCTGACTCATAGTGACCCCATGTACAACAGAACAAAATATTACCTGGTCCTGCACCGTCCTCACAATTATCGCTATGTTTGGGCCTATTGTTGCAGCCACTGTGTCAATCCATCTTGTTGAGGGTCTTCATGGACCCTTGACTTTACCAACAATGATGCCCTTCTCCAGGGACGGGTTCCTCCTAATAATATGTCCAAATTACATGAGATGAAGTCTCACCATCCTCCTTCTAAGGAGAATTCTGGCTGTACTTCTTCCAAGACAGATGTGTTCATTCTTCTAGCAGTCCACTGTATTTAATACTCCACATCAGAACCATAATTCAAAGGCATCAATCCTTCTTTGGTCTTTCTTATCCATTGTCCAGATTTCAAATGCATGTGAGGGGATCCAAAATGGCTTGGGTCAGGCACCTTAGTCCTCAAAGTGACATCTTTGCTTTTTAACACTTTTTTTTTTCTATTATGTCCCTTTTATTATGTCTTAAACAGGGCAAAGACAAAATAATATTTTGTCTTCTAAATAATAAATAATATTAATTAATCTAAATAATAAATATTTATAATAATATTAATGTAAATAATATTAATTAATGTAAATAATATCTGGATGCTTTCTAACACTTTAAAGATATCTTTTGCAGCAGATTTTCCTAATGCAATGTGTCATTTACTTTCTTGACTGCTGTTTCCATGGGGATTGATCATGGATCCACATAAAATGAAATTCTTGAGAACTTCAATCTTTTCTCCATTTATCCTGATGTTGCTTATTGGTCCAGTTGTGAGAATCCCCATTTTCTTCTGCTAAGGGGTATTGCATACTGAAGGCTGTAGTGTTTGATCTTCATTGGAAACTCAGTGGGGCCACTCTACTCTGTCCTATAAGTCAAAAGTGACTTGACGGCAGTGGTTTTAGATTTCCTGCCTTGCATCCATTCTTTCATCTGATGACAGATTTGTTTTCCTTGGGGAAACTACTTCCTCTTTTGGCCCATGTGGTTCAGATGACATTGACTCCCATCCCTACAGATGTGCTTCTGAGCAGGGCCTCGCCAGTCAGCATAGGCCAAAGGGACCACTTCAGGGATGGATGTGTGACCTGAGCCAGGCCAGTGACACTCAATTCTGAATCCAGAGCAACTCCCGGACTTCTGTCAACCCACCCCCTTTTGGGGTCGGCCTCCTCTCCACCCCCAATTTGAGTGAGGGTTTCCTGTCATTTGTAACCAAGTGACAACCCTGTAGTTTTAAGATTTGCTTATTTTAAATCTTTGGGAAATTTACCTTCTTTGTGTTTTTAACATTTATTGAATGTCAACTCTACCCTAGGTACAACTACAAGACAATGCTGGAGTTGGGGCTCACTTGAGGGGGGCAAGACTGGCACAGCAGATGGTCAGAGATGGGATCTTGCAGCAAAGGGGAATTCTTGGCTGCAGGCATGATCATTCCATGACCTCACAGCCGCGGTAGAAAAAAAGCAGAGAGTCTGGGTGAAGGTCCACCCACCACAATAAAAGTAACCCCACCACCACCCCACTGGGGTAGAAGCTTCCCCCAACAGGCCTTGTCTATACTGGCAGCCCTTCCTTGCTGATGTTTGGCAGAGTTTCTGTCTACTGTTATTGTCTCATTAAGGCTGGTCTTGGCTTGCACCTTGGATGAGCAGGCTCCAGGCTCCGGGATGGCTCACAGAATAAGTCACTGTTCCATCTCTCCCTCTCCAGTTAGGAAAAGACAAAGAAGCAAAGAGAGAATAGCAGTTCAATACTCGGGTCTGGAATTCTTTAGACCCAGTTCTGTAGTCCCCAAATCCTCTCTTGCTTATTGTGTGACCTCAAACAAGTCTCTTAACCTCTCAGAGCCTCAATTTCCTCATCTGCAAAATGAACAGTTTATAGATAAACTAATGAATAGCTTTTACTTGTTAAGGTGTGAGGAGTGACAATGTTGTTGACAATGATGACGGTGACTGCTACTACCAAATGCTGATCGTAGGTAGAGACTTTGTATACATTACCTTTTTTATCTTTCTCATCAATTCTGTGAGTTAAGTATCATTAGCCCATTTTTCAGATGAAAAATCTGAGGCACCAAGAGGATAAGATACTTACTCAGGGCTGCACTGTTAGTAAGGAGTGGAGCTGGAATTCAAACAAGGGCAGCCAAATCTAGAGCCCTTTTTCTTGGCATTATACTGTATCAACTGGACCACCTTTAATCCTCATAACAGCCTTGTAGGTAGAAACAACTAAGCACATTTTATAGAAGAGGAAACAGAATTTCAGAGAGGGTAAGTAATTTCCCCACAAGGACACAGAGCTAGGAAGCAATCAGGCCAAGATTTGAACCTAGGTCTGTACTCTTTTTATTACATACAGCTCAGTGCCCCTCTAGGAGTAGCCACGTTCTAATGTTCGGGAGCATGAGCCTGGGTTGGGCTTTGAATTTGGGTATGTGAGGGAGCTGACAAAGAACAGAAGCACCACCCTTTGACTATTCTCTATACAAGTCTTCCCCCACCACCACCATGTTCCTACTCCTAATGGCTTTTCATAAAGTCATAGTCCAACAATGACCTGTTGTTTTATGCCACTGAGTCTATTTCAATTCATAGAGACCCTACAGGACAGAGTAGAATTGCCCCATAGGTTTCCTAGGCTGTAATCTTCACATAAAGGGCCTTATGTGTTACAATCAATTTGACGGCAGTAGGTTTGGTTTTGGGTTTAATCTTTACAAAAACAGATCATCAGGTCTTTTCTTCTCTGGAGATCCAGGGTGGGTTCAAACCATCAACATTTTCGTTAGCAGCCAAGTGCTTAACCATTGTGCCATTAGAACACCTCACATCAACAACCTACCATTAAATATTGTTCTATAGTGGATTTTTTGAACAATGTTTTATGGTAGGTCATTGAAAAATATTGAGTGGTCAGTGACCTGCCATTACATATTGTCCAAAACATCCATTGTGGAGAATAGCCAGCCCCTGGAGCCATGCCAGCAACCTCTGACCACTCTCCAAGGTGCTGAACAACTGGCCAGGTGCCCAGGGCATTCATGGTACCTCCCCAGCACCTTTGCAAGAGGCCTGGATTCTGGGACACCCACCACTGGTGGGCCGGGACCAGATCCGCACGCAGTCCTCTTCCTGTAGGTCTGCATGGATGCTGTCATCTGGCTGTCCCCCATCCCAGTAGTTGTAGTTACAGAATGAGCCATCAGTCCATTCAAACTGCCCCTCCTCCCAGAAGTAAGGAGAGAAAAATCCAGCATTTGAGCCAGGCCCAGATCAGTGACAACATCCTCCACCTCCATACCTGAGCCAAAGTTTTCACCTTTAATCTCATATTGCTGCTGTTACCACCACTGTTGTTGTTGGGTGCCATGGAGTCAATTTTGACTCACAGCAGCCACATGTCTTTCCGGAAGCTGATCACCAGGTCTTTCACCCACAAAACCGCTGAGTGGGTTTAAACACCAACCTTTCAGTTAGCAGACAAGTTTTTAACCATGCTACCATTATTACTAGCTGCCACTTATTGAGGGTTTATTACGTGCCACGCCAGGTGCTTTTTTCATTTATCCCCACCACCCAGCACATCCAACATTATCATCTCCATTTTATAGAGGAGAAAACTAACACTCAGATTGATCTACCCAAGATCACACAATGCTAATAAGGCACTGGTGCTGTGATTCGAATCCAGGTCTCTCTGGCTCCACTACCCAGTACCCTAATTACTACACTTCATTGGTGGATGGAAGTTACCCTTCATGACTTCTCCTTTGTCTAAATAGTCTGTATTTTTCTTGCCTGATGTGAAATTACTATGTCCAATTCTAAGAAAAGTTCTGTTGGGAATTTGATTGGTGCTGCAATAAAATGTGCAAGTTAACTGTGGGAAGAACTACATCTTTGCAATGTCCATGAACAAGATCCATTTCTCACTTATTCAGGTTTTTAGAAAAGTCTCCCTCAAAGTGCTGATGGTGACAGAAGCCACGCCATGTGATGGGCATAGCATGCTACTATGAGGGAGGGCCGAGCTTGAGATCCTAGGTCCACCTACTTCCAGGCTCTGCAACCTGGACAAGATCCTTAACCTCTTGGCAATTATGCACATACCCCAGTTATGGTCCCTTTCCCACTTCTGTAGTCCCACCTGCAACAGTGACGAGTTGACCTGCCAGCAGTTATGCTTTTGTGATGATTTCTTTTGCACTCTTATCAAATATAATGGACACCATGACTGTGACTCAGTGGACACCATTCAGCTTCTGTACTGTGTATATGCTGATGGCTTCCTTCATTCTTGATGACTACCTTTGTCCTGTCTAAGGTTTAATAAAAGGGTCTCTATAGAAAAAGAAAAAAAAAAAAAGATCCTCTAGCTCTCTGAGCCTCAGTTTCCACACTCAGACAATGGAGTTATTATCTCCCTCAGAGGCTTGTGAGAGTTGACTGAGTTAAAGCTTTGACACAAAAGGTCTAGTATAGTGCCTGTCAAATGAAAAGAAAACAAAACCAAGCCCTTTACTGTATTGTTCGTTATTATTGTTATTAGGTCTTGTGATATAAATTCCCATAACTTTCAGTAAATGAAGTCATAATCCAATTTTTTAGGTTGTTATTACAAATCAAATTTTTTCCCTTAATTATAATTCCCAGCTTAATTCTACTAATTTAAAAAAACATCTGACCACTACTGTTACTTTTGCTACGGGTAATAGCAAATTCTACCATCCTGAGTGAATTCTAGAGGAGCTTTGGTGGCACAGTGATTAAGTGCTCAGCTGCTAACCAAAAGGTCAGCAATTTGAACCCATCAGTCACTCTGTGGGAGAAAGATGTGGCCGTCAGCTTCTGTGAAGATTATAGCCTTGGAAACCCTATGGGGCAGTTCTACTCTGTCCTGTAGGGTCACTATGAATCAGAATTGACTTGATGGCAGTGTTTTGTTTTGTTTTGTTTTGTTTTTCCTCTAAGTATGCTCTTACAGTTTGCCAAGCACCACAGTAAGCCCTTTAAATACATTAGCTCACTTAATGTTTTACAACAAGGCACATTCTATCATGTCCATTTTACACATGAGGAAACTGAGAGGGAGAAAGAATATTGTCCCTAATCATCCGCTAACCAGTAAGTGGCAGAACGGGAACTGGAACTGTAGTTCTGTTCTCTAGGTGTTCTGAGGGAGCTGCAGCTTTCCCTGGGAAAGGCTGAGGAGAAAATCTCCAGGTGGAGTTTGCTATGCTGTTGCCAGGTAGGAGATCTCCCAAGCCACCCTCTGTAGCCTGTCACCCACCATTATGCCACCCACCCTGCCCACTCTGCATCCCAGCCATGCTGGTCTTCTTCACTTCCCTCAAATGTGCCAAGCTCTCTCCCACCTCAGAACTTTGCCCATGGTTTTCCCTCCACCTGGAATGGTCTTCCTCTGGCTGCTCCTATTTGTCCATTAGACACTAGCTGAAATGTCTCTGAGTCACGGAGGCTGTGGTAGCCATGGACGTGCAAAGCTCAGACCTCCTTCAGGAGGATCAGCTGCAGGGGGCAGAGCTGACTGACAGCACCAGTTCCCACCCCTCTGGATGTCTCAGGGGTGGGACCATGCTTCCTCCAGTAGTTACGGAGGATGTCAGGGGTACGAGTGCTGGCCCATTTCTCCCAATGGCAGATTCCTACAATGCCATCCTATGCTTGGGGATACACATCAATGAAGCCAAGCCTTCTTCCGAATTTTGCTGGGATTGGAGGCTTCTCCTGCCCAACCCTTTCTTCCCCTTCTCCTTTCGCAGATCTCAGACCTGCCTCTTAGCCTGAGGGCTCTCCCTGCCTAGTTCTGCCCCTTTCACAGATGTTTCCTCTCAGAAAATCGGCTGAATAACTAATCTTGTCCTGGTGTGTATTTTGTCGGAGGACCCAAACCAAAGGAGGCCTTCCCTTGCCCCTATAAATCTCCACACCATGTGTTCCCACCATATCTTCTCACATCACATTCATCATTTCCCACCTGTGGCATCTTGGTGTCTGCTTCCTCTGTATGCTGGGTGTATAGCAGAGATTGGCACTGTTCTGGTTACTGAGTGCTGCTCTAATGAGAAATAAACCACAAATGGGATGGCCTTAACAAACAGGAGTTTATTCTTAGAATTTGGAGGCTTTAAGTCCAAGTTTAAAGTGCCAGGCTCTAGGGGCTGGGTGAAAGCCCTTCAACCTTGGGGTCCGGCCCTGCCTCCTGCTCTTGGCCCACTGGAGGTAGAGGCATGTCTTCGCTCAGACAGCTGCTGGCTGCTGAGGCTGAGAAGCTCCAAGTTTGACAAGTAAAAAGGCACAATCCCAATGTTACCAAACCACACGGCAGGACATTAACTTAAGTCCATTGTATGTCCCAAGGTCAGCAGAGCATAGCAGGCTGCTGAGCAATGACACAGCTACATGCAGGGTCCAAGCATGCCACAGGCTAGAGACCATTCCCAAGGCTTCTCCTTAAATACAGGAAGGAGACCACATTCCCAAAGGCAGCTACTCAGCTGCTTGTGGGAGATCCCACCAGGGAGCTGATTGCCAGTCTCATCATGGGGAATAACTACCACTAGCTTCCCAGCCACTCAACCAAGCCCAGCCAAGTTGACACACAAACATAACTACCACAGGCACACAGATTCTGTGGAAAAGTTTGGTTAAGTCAAAATGAAACCCTGAGCAGAGGTCCCCTCTGATGGCCAGTGCTTCCTCACCTGCCTATGATCGTGAAGTCTTGTCCAGACATCAGCTGGGTTCCCAGGAACACAGCTGTTCATGAGGTCATCAACTCAACTCATTTCTGTCAAGACTGATCCAATTCATAGCAACCCCTCCTTGGGTTTCCAAGGCAGTATCACTATGGAAGTAGATTGCCGAATCTTCCTTCCAAGGAGTGGCTGGTGGGTTTGAACTGCCAGCCTTCTGGTTAGTAGTCAGATACCTTAGGGACTACACTACCAGAGATCATGAGGTCATACACAAGACATTTTCCTCCCAGCTGCAGATGTAGGAAACATAGTGGCATATTAGTCATTGCCTCTTTTCATGGGATGTTGTGGTTTGGTGCCATTGGGTCAATTCTGACCTGTGTAACAGAATGGAACTGCGCTATAGGGTCATCTTTGTTGTAATCTTCATGGAAGCAGATTGCCAGACCTGTCACCCATGGAGCCACTGGGTGGGTAAGAAATGCCAAACTTTTGGTTCACAGCTGAGCACCTAACCATTGTGTCATCAGGGCTCCTTTCATAGGATAGAATTGGAAATTGAAAACAATCCTTGTTAACTAACCTTCCTGAACCAAAGTATAGAGAATATGATGCCATCCTGCTTTCCTCTTCCGTTTACATTAGAAGGTCACGCATATGTGGCTGTCTTCTCACAGGCATCTCTGAATTTGACCCATATTAGCTCAAAGCAGGACTCAACACTGCTATTCATCCTTAAATACTAAAATCTATCTCAAAAATAGTAGTGAACAAGGTGTCTTTTATTGCAAGTATCGTAGAGACAAAGGAAGGGTTTTACATTGCATTGCATGCATCAAATAATGAAAATCTTCACTAAACATTTCTCTTCTCCCTCAAAACTCTCCTTATACTGCCAATACTTACATGGCCTTTTCACTCCTAATCTCTTCTGTTTTCCTAGGAAATTCAGCTCTATGCTTAAGCTTGCATAGCTCACTCAGCAAAACATGCCCCTGTCAGCAAATCCAAATCCCTGAGGTTAACAGTCTATCCTCTTTAGAAGCCATTGGTAGTATCTCCTTGGGGGATCCTAATCCTCTACTTCAAAGAAATGATCAAATAATTCACCCAACAAAAGAAATCATGGAAGACCAACAAAACAAAGAAAGAAATATAGATGGATGGATGGAGAGAAGGATGGATCAATGGAGTGATGAATTGACAGAGAGATACAGATACAGATAGATAGACAGTTGCATAGAAATTTTCTTCATGCCATTAAACTGTTTCTTGAGCATTGATTTTATGCCAGGTACTATACTGAGTATTTTACATGCATGAACTTTTTCATCCAGGCAGACCAGGAGAAGGTCTGTTACTTGTCTACCTAACAACCATTCCTAATTAGTTTGCCTGTTGCCTACAAGGGAACCTAGAAAATCCAGGCTTTACTTTGCCAGTCTTCTTTGCAGCTAATGCTGCCATATAATAGTTTGGCCAATTAGGTGCAAGGGGAAGTTTGTAGGGAGCATCTTGAAAATATTATTCCCCATGATAAAAGGAGGGCGGTGTCCTACCCTGCTGAGGAAGCACTGGCATTCACAGATGCCTCGCATACACAATTCTGCTCTTGTGTCAACTGCTGACGATGGGTTTGGAATAGTCATCTCGTGGAGTGACTACCCAGGCATTTTGTCACCATTGCCACCTTTGTTCACCAGCACCTGCTTGGGCAGCTATTTGAATATTTTATTATATTTTCCCCATATTTGATGAAATAACCAGAAAATGGAGAAACCTAAGATGATATCACAAGTGATAAGGAGCAGAGTTCAAATGAACTTAATTTGATTTAACTGTCAACTGAAACAGGTGGAAAGTATCAGGTGAGCTGGCAGCATGAGAACCGAAAACCTCGATCAGATGCCCCGAGGACAGAAGCTGACTGCGCTTAATTATGAAGAAAAGGATAAATGAAGAAACATGAAGAAAATGCCAGAGACATAGAATTAGATTGTGTCTGAAAGACAAGATGTGTAATGTTATTTAGCTTTATGGGAACTGAACCTCATTTATAACAAATGAATGTATTATTCAAATTCAACTTTTCTGTAAGTTTTCAGGAAAATGTTACCTGCTAAAGTGGGGAAATACCTGTATAAGAGAGAAACCAAACCAAACCAAACCCACTGCCATTGAGTCAATTCCACCTCATAGCAACCCCCATTGGGTTTCTAAGGCTATAAATCTTTATGGAAGCAGACTGCCTCATTTATCTTCTGCAGAGCACCCACCTTTTATTTAGCAGCCAAATGCCTCAACCACTACACCACCAGAGCTTCTTAGATGAGGAAACACAACACAACGTACTGCCGTCGAGTCGGATCTGACTCACAGCGACCCCTCCTTGGGTTTCTGAGGTGGTATCTCTACAGTAGATTCCCCAACCTTCCTTCTGAGGAGTGGCTGATGGGTTTGAACTGTCACTACGCCACCGGAGCTACTTAGAAGAGGAAAGATTGCTCAAAATAGTAAATAGAACGTGTGAGAATGTTAGAATGAACACAAGAGGGACACCAGGAGTCGAGAAAAGAGGAAGAAGGTAAAGCTGTGGCAGAAAGAACAGCCACTGGGTCAGGGATTGGTGGAAAGATTGTGAATTGTCTTGGAATCCTTTCTAATGCCCAGTTAGCCAAGGTTTAGCTAACAACCATCTTCAGGCAGGCTGAGCTGTCCTCCCTGTGGGCTGGCTGAAGCGAAATCTTCATTTGGAATCCCTTTGACACTCTTTATTACAAAGGAGCTCTAGTGGCGTAGTGCCTAAGGCACTTGACTGCTAACCAGAGGCTGGCGGTTCAAATCCACCAGCCACTCCTCAGAAGGACGGTTGGGCAATCTACTTCCATAGTGATACTGCCTCGGAAACCCAAGGAGGGGTCGCTATGAGTGGGGTCCAACTCGACGGCACATAACAGCAACAACAACTTTATTACAACACGTCTCCTTCTCCTCTCTAGCTTGGGAATTCTTTGAGCACTTATTTCATCCATTTATACCATTTCCACTTATTTCCTCTTTCTCCATGCCAATCCTGTGCTGTGCTCAGCTCTGTATCACAGAGGGTGCCTTTGACCCCCACAGACTGCATTGCCCAGGCTTCCATGCCAGCTGACTTCCAGCCAATGGGAGGCACCGATGAGACATGAGAGGGAGGAAGGGAGAAGGCAGGGCATTTGTGCCCCTCTCTGCCTTGGGAGTCTCTGTTAGGCACTGCCTCTCGTCAGTGGCTCCATCTCCTACAGAAGCTTAAGATGGCTGTGGTTTCCTGCTATTGCTAATCTCTAGGTTGCCTATTTCCTCTTTAAATTCTCAGATTCCATTACTTGTGTAACCACCTTCCTCTACGAAATTTTCTCTGTTCTAAATATTTGTACTGATTCCTGTTTTCCTGGTTGGACCTTGACTGGTTCAGAATTTTCCAGCATTCCACGTATCTCTTTGATGAATTTATGAATGAATTCAGACGCCTGTAGAAGCTAAGAGAGATTTCTATTTTTTTTTTTTTAATTTTTATTGTGATTTGGGTGAAATTTTACAGAGCAAATTCACTTTCCACACAGCAGCTCACATACACTTTGCCTCATGACAATGACTGCAATTTCCCACAATGCAACAGCTCCCCTCCCACTACCTCCCCACAGTTACCTCTCCTCAGTATCTTTCCTTCCCATACACTCCTGCCCCCAGAACTCTCTCCCTGTGCATACACAGCACTTCTATTCTCCCATGATTGATCTCTCCAAGGAGTGTATCTACCTAATGTAAATGTTCAGCTCACTTGCCTGTCTTTTGTTTGGCTGGAAGCCACAGGAGTGGGTTCAATTCCAGACCTGAAGGGCAGCCACGGGTCACAGTCTCAGGGGTTCCATCAGACCAGCAAACCTGGTTCCCCCACCCCTTTTTTTCCCCCTAAATGATTTTGAGTTTTGTTCCACATTGTTCTCCCATTTTATCCAGGATCTCCTACATAGATCCCCCCTCTGAGTGGTTGACAGTGGTAACCAGGCACCATCTAGTTCTTCTGGTCCCATAATCATATAGGCTGAGAGAATTGCATGGTGTAACAGTCCTTTGGACTAATTGTTTCCATGTGTGTTTGGTTTCCTTCATTCTTCATTGCTCTGGACGAGGAAAGACCCATTGTTGCATCTAGATGGTTGCTAGCAAGCTTTTATTATTATTTATTTTTATTTTTATTTTTTTTTTTTTGCTAGCAAGCTTCTAAGTGCTCAGTCGCTACTCGCCAAAGAAAGATGTGGAACAATGTTTTTTGTGGTATGTCATGCCAATTGAGCTTGATGTCCCCTGAGACTATGGTTCTGAGCTCACAGGTCCAACTACTTGCTCCCTCTGGGTAGTTGGCTGTGACCCAGAAGTGACTGCAACCTTGTCCCTTGTCAGCTCTACTATGTACCTGGGAATTCTTACAGAATATACCAATACACTTGTAGAAACATTGTCCACCAACACTGTACATGGCCACGGGCACACTCCCCCCTGCATGTTGTTGTTGTTTTTGTTATGTGCCGTCGAGTCAGCCCCGACTCATAGTGACCCCTCCTTGGGTTTCTGAGGCAGTATCACTATGGAAGCAGGATTGCCCAAACTTCCTTCCGAGGAGTGGCTGGTGGGTTTGAACCGCCAGCCATCTGGTTAGCAGGCAAGTGTCTTAGCCACTATGCTACCAG